CGTCATTACCTTAGATACCTACATGAATTTTATCTTACATGATAATCAGCGGAAACCTTAGTAATAATAATAAGCTATTTATTTTAATTTTATATTTTTCGTAGTCATTATACATCAGCAAACGTGCATCTTATATTAATAAAAATGATTAATTCGTAATATAATGATATTATTGTGTAACTTGTGCTTACAAGCACCAAAATTGTTAAAGTTTATTACATCGCGAAAGCTTTAACTAAAAAAACTTCGTTTTATCGAGAGGACCAAAATACATATAATTATTCGTTATACCTCGAGATTTTTAAGGGAATGAGTGAATGACAGTTTTACTAGTTATATCGATCCCCAAGCACCAACTGAAATTCACTTTTCTACTAGAAAAATTGATAAAAATAGGAAACTGAAGCATTTTTGGTGCCCCAAAATGTGCAGACGACAAAAAAAATTTAAAAAAATAACATCATTGTAAAATCAATACATTTATCGCTCCGCTCAGTAATTAACACGTTTTAAAAATAAAATAGTCATATTAATATTTTATAATGAGCGTTTAAAGTTGAAATTGTTGTTGGTCATATTGTAAAATCATATCGTGGTAAAAAAGTCCGAACTTTTTACCGTTAACTTTTTAACTACAGAATTTTTACTCAGACGTTTTGGTTGTCTACCGGTAAAATCATGTACTGTGTTGGTGGTGTGGGTAAAATGCCCGAGTTGTCATTAAAGATTTCAAATACAATATTAAATATAATATGATACTACTAAGTAATAAGTACTATATTATCATGTAAATCGTATATGAATATATTATGATGCAAGTTTATATAAGAATATTGGTCATACCATGATAAATAAAATAATAAAATAATTATAATAACATTATTGTAATAAAATAATTAATAATTGTTGAGCTGTAATAGTTAAACTGAAAGCTAATAAAAAAAAAAAAATAATAATTATAATATTATTATTGTAATAAAACAATTATTATAATTTATCACGGGTCATCCTGAGCAGATGAGATGGGCCATGGGAGCACGATCGCAGAATCGTAATTCGTAGGCCGTAGCGGCTGTGGCTGATCGGTGTAGGCGGCGGCGGCGGCGGCGGCGACGGACCAATGGGAAACGGAGAAATGCTTACGTCACAGTACAAGGCTGGGAGGAGGGTGGGTGCGCGATTAGTCTAAAAACCGGTAAATTGCTGACATACCTATTTAATTTATCATGGTATTTACTTAGTATTATATTCTAAGTATTTACTCAAAATTTACTTTGTTAAGAAAATTGTAAGAATTTTCTATGAATACGATACCATTGAAAATTCTAATGTTTCACTTAAGGAAGTATATACTAAGTTTGAATTAAGTACGATCTATGAATATGGCTATATATGTGTACCTAAAAGTTACTCAGTTATATTTTTTTTTAGATATTATAACATCGACTTTAAATAATGACGACGATGACGATGATGAATTGAATGTGTTTATTAGATTTGAGAGACAAGTTAGAAGTAAAATAAAAGACTTTACCGAATTAACTGTACCCAACATGACAGACAAGGACTTCAAAATTCATTTTCGTTTGACAAGAGAGAGTATTGAGGTTATACACATAACTAATGCCTATTTAATTTATTCATATTTTTATTTTATAAGTTATACTAGGTACCTATGTAATGTATTGTTGTTTTTTTTTAGATTTTAACATTCAATTTGGGTCCTCTATTGTTAAATTCAAAGTTCAAGTGCTCCATTGAAAAACAAATACTGGTATTTATATGGTATATGGCTAATTGTGAAACACATCGGTTAGTATAAATTAAAACATTTAAGAAGATTAAGTTAATGAAGTAAAAAGTTAAATTATTTATTTTTAGACAAATAGCAAATCGATTTAATCTATCTGATAGCACCAGTCATGGGGTTATTATAAATTGTTTGCAACAAATGAATATCCTTAATAGAGTTTTTATACAATGGCCAAGCGGTCAAAAGGCAATAGAAACTGTGGACAAATTCAATGCGTTAAGGCAAACTTCTTTTCCAAATGTTATTGGAGCTGTTGACGGATGTCATATTGCCATATTAGCGCCTTGGGAGAAGAGAAGTGTGATGCAAAAATTAGATAGAAATATGTTTTACAACCGTAAACAAGTTCCATCTGTATTGCTCCAGGTTTTTATAAGTTTTTATAAATAAAAAAAAATGCATTTACCATAATATTGCTTCTCAATCCAAATTTTCCCATTCATACCGACGTTATTCTGGATTCAAATTGTTATAAGACGTGCTGCTTGGGTGTGATATAGAATCTCTCTTATATATTAAAGTTAGCTTAATTACCCACCTATACTCATTATTATTGAGTTACATTTTTATTATTTATAATTTTCTATTTAACATAAAGTTTTATACTTGAAAAACATCATAAAACACATTTCTTAAATATTGGTTGATAGCTCATAATATAGAAAATACTGGAATATGGTGCCATATAAAGATAATGGTCACCTAACGCAAAATCAAAAAAACTTTAATAAGATTTTAAGCAGTTCACGTGTGGTTGTAGAACAAGCTTTTGGAAAACTTATAGGAAGATTTCAAAAATTAAAGTACATTAGTCATTAAGAAATTTGTTTTTTTTCTAGCATATCATTAATCTAAAGCATTTTATTAATTAATATAGACATATGGATGTATACCATAAATCATACTGTGGTAAGATTATAACCGCTGCATGTTGTCTACACAATATATGTATGACAACTGGAGATGACTTTGATGCCGAGCCATATGTGTCTGAAATTGCGATAGGAGGTGATTTACATGAAGATGGGACTAGAAGCGGAGTATTAAAGCGTAATGTAATTTGCAATGCATTACAACAAAAAGATAACGTTTAAGTATATATTTTGAATATTTTTACCAGAAATTGTAAATAAACAAAATTTCAAATAAACATATTATTGTTTTGACTTTATTACACACATATTATATAATATATATATAACATTTCAATTTCCTTTTGAATAGTTAAACTTTAAAATAAAACAAAATTGATTAAACAATTCAAATAATAAATAACAAATAACAAACATAAATCATTGACTTCATTATAAAAATATCACATTGTTTCCTTTAGTTGACTTAAACTTGGGTATAAAATAAAAATAAAATAAATAAAAAACTACAACTATTTCTTCAATCAATATTAAATATTTTTTTGAACATTTCCAACTTTTGCATTTCTATATCATTAGCTGTGTTCAATTTGTTAACAAGTTGCTTTTGAACTTCTAACATTTCATGTTCTCTTGTCTCCAATTTATCAAGTCTGAAAGATATCAATTTTTAGTTCAAAAAAATTTTAAATCAAATTAATATTTTATAACTCACCTTTTGTTCAATTCTATGCTTTGTGTATTATTTTGCTCTTTTTTCATTTTTTCATATTTTTCAAACCATGATGGTGTCTTGGCTTTAAATTCAGCATGATTAGGTGGCAACGTTTGCGATATTGTTGTTTGTGATGGTGTTGGTATTGTATGTGAAGGTGGATTTAGAGTAATACTTGATGTCATTGTCGTGGATGTAGAAGGCACACTGTAAGATGACTCGTTCAGTAGTTCTAAAAATATAAATCACAGTTTTGAAAACCATACGATCAATACAAAAAGTTAGACTTAGTTTATCTGTCGTAGGCATATCCACAACAATACAGGACCAGTGACTTATTAAAACATAATTTATTAATTACAAAAAAAACATTGGGAAATAAAGGTAAATTTCCACAAATAGTGTGTTTAAAATCTAATGACATACGAGTACTATAACAGTTTCAAGTACCTACAAATAATATTATTAATATTTCTAATTGATTTTGTAGTTGTACCTTAATTGTAACAACTAATAATTGGTATAATTCATAATACTAAAATGTATCACTAATGAAAAAAAGTGAGCCCCCAACTAGTAAAATTGCCTAGATTCAATAGTGTACACTGTACAGGAATACTCACATACTATAAAAAAATAAGTCAAAATAATAGGAGTTGTTATAAATTTACCTTTTGGAGGAGATATAGACTGTTTTTTTCCTAAAGGTATGATTGCTTCATCCATTAACTTATAATACTGCCATTTAATTGCATTGTTGCCTGATTTTTTTGATAAATCATAATATTTTCTGTGTTGAGTGCTTAGTCTACGCCATTTCTCATCACAAACTTTAGGCGAAAACGAATAGCCCTTTTCAGCCATTTCATTTGAAATTAGCTCCCAGAGTTGAGATTTTTTACCTTTCTTTTTTGCTGATAAAAATTGAGTACTATACGAGACACGTAATGTTATAAGAAACTTGGTAAATTCTACTGACCATGTTCTATCTATATCAATTAATACATTACAATAATGCACATAAATCAGTTTTTTTAAATATAGGTATAATATATATTGTTACTTAGGTACGTTATTTACCTTTATCTTCTTCAACTTCTTCAACTTTGCTAATGTCATGATTTACTTCATTAGAAATTTCTGCATACATCTGTTGGATAATCTCTTTCTGTGTTAATTCGGGTTCTTCTTCATACATTTCTATAAATGCAGTTTGTATTATGGTTAAAAGCTTTGGTAAATGTCACTTCCAATGGGCAATAAATGGTAAAAACCTATTATAAATTACAAATTTACCTTCAATATAACGGTCCATATTTGTTTCAGACATCTGCCGTTGAGCCATCTCACGTAAATACGGAATACTGATTATAGTGATTATAAATTATAACAATACTTTTAATTCAAATAACTAGAACATACAATAATTATAAGTTGTAAAATTCGTCATAGAAATTGTTAACTTATAACTTGTGTACTGTCATACTGAAAATTTAAAAATTAGTATTATTTTATATTTTCATTTTTCAACATTGAATTTGTTATTAGTGATAACTGCAGATAAGACGTTTGAATAGAGGGGTAGGCATCGGCATCGGTATAACTAACCATATCGTCGATATGGTTCAGAAAAATGAAACCGCTTTCATAAAATAGTTCCACCGGTTTGTTGAACGAATTTCTTAAATTCACACCGGTTTCAATTTTAAGGGGAAATATACACCGGTTTGGGCAAACGAATTTCTTGAATAAGTGCAATTTACTAAATTGTTCAGGGGAAGGAGATTAATGAAGTTGCTCTGCATTTCATGTAGATGGCGTTTTTTTGTATGCAATTATTATTTTAAGCTACCAAAGAGGTTTGAAATATTAAATTTAACAATATTTTAGCTCATCTAATTATAGTCCTTGTTTAAACTAAAAGAATGTGTTATATAATTTAGTTGCTGCATTTACAATCTGCCAAAAACAAAAATAAAACACAGTAAGTGATCTTACTGTGTTTATAATTTGGTAACTGAATTTCTGATTTATCAGGAAAAAAAGTAAAACACAGCAAGAACACCGAGTTTTTAATTTGGTTATAAAATTATACATTTTGAATATATAGGTAAGCATACACAGTAAGCAATTACAGGTCACTATAACATAATATATTATAATACTATTTAAATAAATAAATTCTTTATATAAATAAAAAAAAAAAATATCTTTATTTTTATTACAAATACTGTATGTAACAAAATTTAAACTTAACAACTATATAAATGTATAACATGTATATACAACTTCAGCCTTATAATTTTATTTGTATAAAATAATTGTTTTCTAGTGATAAATAAAAAAAAATTAATAAAACATAACAGTTACAAATAAAATAAAATGGTGTAGTTTAATATAACTTACTACCTCATAACTAAAACATGTTTATAAACTTGGTAATATAATTATTATAATATAATTAAATGAAAACTTAAACATTTACATATTATGTTTAACAATAAAATAACTAAAGTAACTTGTAACAACATATTTTGGTTAAAATAAATTATAATATTTTTTACATAAAAATAAATAGTTAAAATAGTGTATAAAAACATTATCCAATATCACACTTTATATTCTGTTAATACTTTAATAATATTAAAAAGTTAAAAACTAAATTACTAATGAATTGGATAAACCATAATCTTCATCATGTAATAAATCTGTAACATAATTTGATTCTGGTAAATCTTGCCAAAAATGTCTTCTATTTTCTGGCATTAGTGGTACAAGAGTTTTTATAATCTCTTTTTTCTTACTACTGTTTATACCTCGTTGACTATCTTCATGATTTGGTAGACAATTGATATTCCTTAATGTACTTTTTTTCAAAAAGTCCAGTTTAATCAGATCATCATCAAAATCATTTTTGTACTCAAGACAATTTGATCCTTTGACAAAACGTACCATTACAACATTGATTAATTTAAAATTGAACAAAGGATCATCAATTTTCTTAGTTGTTCTTTTTTTATTATTCCATTGATAAAATGTCACAAGTTTTAATACATTCACTTTTGTTCGGGATTCAGCCACTGTGTCAGCAAGATCATCAAAGTCATAAATTTTACCTTTTCTCCTCATTTTAGACTCAATATTACCATGAATCCCGTCAGCACTCATGTGTGTGTGACCCTTGGTCAAGTATTTAATTATAATTTCATTTGGTCCATCAATTTGGTTAACTGCAGTTACCAATGCTGAATACAGTGTCCAATTCTTATTCTGAGCTGTACAATTATCAGCCCAAAATACAAACTTTAGCACATCTCTTTCTTTGTTAATAACTGTCATTATAGAATCAGTTATACATTCAGCTTTTCTTCCACTAAGAGCTTCGTGCCACAAAACACAGTAACTGTTAAATGTGCTTCCTTTTTTTATAGTTGCAAAAGTTTCATTAAAAACTACTAATCTACTAAGAAAGTAGGATGATTTAATATTGGGCATGTATGGGATAAGTATTACTTTTTGGAGATCCATGGAAAAATATCTTGTTGAACCCAACTCCTGTTCCTGTGAATCCTTTTTATACTCAGCGTTGGCTTTGTTGGCTTTAATTTTATGTAATACTAAAGTTGAATTAGATTCTGGATTAGTTATATCCTGATTGAGGATTTCACAATCCTCACAATCATCAGCTTTAGGTTTGTTTAAAGATATATTTTGTTTTTTAATTGTTGATCTATATGTTTCTGAATCACAATAATTTGGGTACTTATTTTTAAAATCATCAAACATAATTTTTATGGTGAGTTCACGAGGTAGATAGCGTATGTTAGGTGCATTATGCCTTCTATAATGAGTTACACAGGGATGATATGAGTTTATGTGGTCTATAATAACTTGTCTATCAATTGCATCAATTCGTGGCCTACCTCGGTTTTCTTTAATAAATTTTCCACACAAGTCCTTTTCCATAACAGCCACCAATTCAGTGACAACAGAATCATTAGTATAGCCTAATGTTTGTAAAAATGTAGATTTGCAAATTGCTATATCAATTTTAAATTCTGGATGGGTAAATGTGTATAGTCTGCTTTTAGTTTTTTTAAAACTATTATTTTCATCGACATTAACCTTCCTTCTTTTAATGGATACCAATTTAATACATTTTGACATATATTTTCGTCGGTCAGTATAATTTAATTTCCATAATTCAGACCAAATAGAAGCTTGATTTTCATTACTTAATAAATTACACTGCCTTTTACACTTACCAGTACACGTTTTTAGGATAAGAGGATGTTTATCCATTTGGTTTTGATTTTTGATTTCTGACAGTTTAATATTTCGAATGTGTTTTTCATTGCCTGTCATTCTACGTTTTCTCATCCCTGCAATTCCCCCTTCCACTGGAAAATCTTCATCAACATTAGGTACACGGATATCTTGATCATCATTTAAACAATTTGGTGTGTCATTAAAATCTACAAGTGTAAATATATCCTATTGTTAGTTGAAAATACA